CCTTCGCCTTATACAGTTTAAACACAGCAACAGAACAGAGGGAGGCTTTTTGGTGTTGCTGGCCAACAGAAAGGACAAGTAATAGAGGGCCGGGGCGCCAGGCCACGCAGAGGAGGCCACGGTCGTCCCCCAAAGGCAGAGGCTCAAAGCTGTGGTGCAGTGGAAAGTCTTCGTATTAAAGAGAAAGTCCTGAAAGTAAAAGACAGAACGAGGGATGGAAGGGAAGGTCCTAGGAGGGACTCTGGAAGTGGTGGCAATGCACTAATTGCGGTCTTGCTTAAGGTGGCGAGTTGCACAGACGCTCTGGAGCTCCAGCCGCTACCCCTGCAAGGCATTCATCCCGCCCCTGGCTCTGGGTCTAGGGAGGAGATCCTGCGGTTCAGTCCAGTGTGTCCTCCAGCTCCTCCTTCTGCTTTTTCCTCTCTGCAAGCCACCGCTGGATCTTCTCCTTAAGCTCGGTGTTTGGTCTGATCTGGTCCATAGTGAGGGGACTCCGATTGAAAGGATCTGTCTGGTCACTGAAAGACAAAGCATCGAGGCAGTTACTTGGCACGGGAAGTACAAAAAGAGGAAGACAGACAAGGAAGAGTCACCGGGTAAGCGAAACAGATACCCCAAAAAGAACCAAGGTACAAAGCCCGTGCTTTTTACCTGAGGAGGTGTCGGGCTATAGTCGACCGGTCCACGGTGACACGGGAGGAGGGCAGGATCACAGGGTCTGACATCAGCGTGCTCATGATTGGGTCCAGGAATTCGTCGCAGGCGTCTGCATATGTCTCCTCCTCCTGCTGCTGGCGGTCTGCAAGAGACTGGTGGAGACACATGGCCTTTAGAGACTCGCACTCCTTGCTCTTCGAAACCAGGTTTGCACCCAACTCATAGCTACAGCACCTGCAGGTCTGTGCCAGCCGGGAGCCCTCCCAGCAGCCCCATCTCAGCCTTAGAAGCTCCACTCCCCGAAATCCAGCTCCACAGCAAAGAGGCAGTGACATACAGATGCAAGAGGATGCCAGGAACCAGCTCCACCTTTTCTTGTGTTCTCCAGTTCTCACCTTAATCCTCTCAGCCAGGTTACTGAACGACACTATCATGTTGCCGGGCTTGTTGATTTTCTTCAGAACCCGTGTCGGTGAATACGAGCGGCCATCCTTAGGCACCGTGGCACAGAAGTTTTCCTCATCCCTGGACCACAAGTTAAAAAAGAGTGCAGGCTCAAGAATCCACATTTAGTGGGCTGTGAAACACCGCCATCGCAGCAGGTGCATTACTACAGCAAAGAAATCAACACTAGAGAAGAGCTGGACTGTGACTGAGCATTCCTCCCAGCTCCTCTCCAGAGTGACCCACTGTCTGAACACAACCATGAAAGTGCTCAACTTCCACCCCTGCTAGTTGGGGTGCAGCTGATTGCTCTGAGTAATTTAAATTAGAATTGCTACAGAAAGAGCGCAGCATGCTCCCAAAAGGGCCCCCGGAGGACTGCAGAGAGCACACAGAGCAGTTCCGTTAGGCGAGGTTCCCACCCCAGGACAGAGGTGGCCCCAGGGCTCTAGGAGCCAGGATGGCTCCTGCCACCTCACGTGCCAGCTCTCCCCCATCACCTACCCCAGGTTTAGGTAGATGGTGCAGATGTCAGAGACGAGCTGCTGCGGCTTGAAGTCAAACTCGCTGAAATCCTTGACTTTCAGCGCTCCCATTTTAGGACCAACCAGGTGTTGCAGGAAGTAATTGAGCATGGAGATGATGCGCTCGGCAAGGAACGGGTGCACAAAGAGAGACTTGATTTCTGGAACAGAAACGGCGTTTCCTGACCTACATGGCAATCCTGCCCCACTCTGACCTCCCTGAAGCCAAGCTCGTGCCCGCCTGCTCCCAGACAGGGCCCTTATCCTGCTGCCAGCAGGCAGGAGGGTCTGCTCTCCCTACCTGAGGTGAGGAAGGCCAGAGTGCCAATGGTTTCGTTGGACATGATGTTGTGGAAACGCGCCAGCTGACCAAACATCTGCAGGCTCGACTCCTTCTCGCGGCGAGCCTCCTGGGACAGGCTGTCCCACTCGCCGCGGTCCTTCTCGATCTGCTGCACTTTAATCTTGCTGAGGTACTGCAAAGACACAGCAGGGAAGGGTCTGGGAGAATGGGCAGGTAAACAGGCAACGGCAGCCAAGCCAGGCCTGTCCCACTCTGCTCTGGGCTGACAGAGATGGGGAAGGTACCAGAGCGTGCTTGAAAAGGCCTCATCACAACCACACACGCTGCACAAAACACAGAGCGTCCACTTGGACAGCAAATCACAGGACGCCCCAAAATGCTCACAACCAGACGGGCAACACCCACATCACCCATCTTATCTCCTGCAGCCTCCCCACAAGTACTTCTACACCATGTAAAAGCTCCCTCAAAACCCCCTTTCTAGTGGCCACAGGCAGCTTGGAAAGACTTGGAGAGGCAGCCGCTGCCCCAGGCACACAGTTCACCTGGCGCTCGCCTTGTAAACCCAAAGTGCCTGGAGACAAAAGGCCTTTGTTAGGACACAGCACCTGCAGAAAGGCCAAGGGGGTGCAATAATCAAAAGCCACAGAGCTCGTTTACAACCTGCCTGGGCCCAGATTAGCATCAGGCAAACTTCCTTGCAACTGCCCCAGCGGGCTCCGTGCTAGATCTGAAAGAAACCGTTTTGCTCCTCTTTGTTCTGACCTGCCTCCAGAAACCAAAGGGACAGGAGAGCACCCCGGCCCCCACCGTCCCGCTCTGCCTTCCCCCCTTCTCCCAAGGCTCTGGCTACACCAGCCTGGAATTGCTTCCTGCAGGTGTCTGCTGCACACGTTCTTTGGGCAGGACCAGAGCAAGCTGATACTGTTCTAGGGATGGGTCAGTGTCGTGCTCATCCGCCTTCGTGGGAGCAATGCCGACGGCGTGTGTGTGTGTGTGCAGCCCCACCTGTATGGCTTCATCCAACAGGAAGATGGCATCGTTCATGAGCAAATTAAGGAAGCGCAAGAAGAGGGGGGGGTTCATTGCCTCCAGGTTCTCAGAGGCGTAATCAGCCAGAGCCTGCAAGGAACAAGAGAACAGCGAATGCCGGGGCACCGTCCCAACAGCGGCACGTGGATCCGTGCACGCCATACAGAGCTGTGCACGTGCCTCTCGCCTCACCTTTATGCTCTGCCGGTAGGAATCTGTGCCCCACATGTACCTCAGGATGGGATACATGGGGCGTCGGTAGTTAAACTTCTGCTCAAACTGGTGCGGGTCACCTAGACATCGGCAAAAGCAAAGCGTTTCCAGGGTGCACAGGCAGGGGCTGCTAATTCCTTTTCACCATTTGTCTGAAATAACCCCCTGCTCCTGCAACAGGTCAGTGAAACCTGTCGCTGATTTCAGAGCAGCACAGACGAGCCCACATTAGAAGAGGACAAGCGAGGAGCCGCTATAAGGGCTGCCAAGCTGAAAAGCTCAGGCTCCACAGGTTATCCTTCCTATACACGCAGCTCTGAGCAAGCCAGAAGTTTGGTAAGTCCAGCGCATGGCTGGAATGTCACCTGCCTAACAGGGCCAGGCAGCTTAAAGCACAGATGCGTTTGTTTTCACTGACACAGTTCAAACCCTGGAGGCGTTCCCCCTGCAGACGTTACAGGAGGAAGACAACTCTCCTGCTTTCGCACTTACCGGTAAACTCGATGTCCACAAAGACTTTGATGAGCGCCTCGGCAAGCTGGGCAGCGTTTCGGTAAGAGCAGAACACTCGCTTGCGATGAAACACACTCGAGACAAGAGGGTTCTGGGCCTGATCTAAATGAGGCATCACAGCTTCCAACACTTCTGCCAGCTTGGCTCGTAGATGAGGATTTTTCATCCTGCAAGAGAAAACAACAAAGCAAGTCCAGGGTGGCATGAGGGCCAGGCTGTGAGTCAGAAAACATTGCAGGAGCTGCGCCTGTGCCTGCCAGAGCAGCCACTTGTTGCTGATGGTCTGTACTAATGTTGACAGCTGGCGGCTCCCTCTCAGTCTTGGAGCCACGGGGCAGAGGCATGTGCTCCATACCCACGGGTAAAGCTCAGCCAGAGGCCAAAGGGTGCAAGAACAGCAAAGCTGTCGCTTCCCTCCCTCCCAGGGGCACCCGGCACACGCAGCCCACACTCCCCAGTGAGCCCAACTCGCTGTCCCAGCTGTTTGCTCACTGCTCTGTGACTCACTTCCCAGTTCTGTGAGCCCGAGGCGCTCTGCCTGCCGAGCCCACTGGGCAGTGCAGTCACCGAGCTCAGGGTGTGACCTGCTTCTGCTGCATGCGTGGGGACAAAGCCAAACCCCTTGCCCAAGGTCAGGCTGGGGGGGTAACGCCAGGAAGAATGACAGCCACTGTGTCCTGGGAACAGCGAGAGCTGCCTGCCATGTGAAATCTCCATCTGCGGCTCCCGCCGTCACCGCGAGTTCGCTGTATTTACACATGCAAGTACAAACAAACCAACGGCAGAAATGTTGCCTGCGTGGCCACGTCCCATCAGGAAGATCAATAAAGCTACTCAGTTTTGTCCGGTGCTCAGTTACCAGAGTAGACTTCATAGCTACTCCAAACAGATCAATCTCAACAGCTTCCTTTAACAAGTACCAAAATGGCTCTAGCTAAGACCAAACAAATACTCAGACACCACATCCCCTTGCGCGAAGCCCACGTCCTTCAGGCGCAGCCCTGCTCGCTCTGCCTCCTGGGGGCAGGATTCAGCTCTTCCCAAGAGACGAGCCTGCTCGTGGCTGCATAAACCAAACCTCAAGACACCTTAAAGCCATTTCCCTTCTGGGTGCTCTCCAGATAAGCAGCTGGGGCTCACACCTGGGGCAGTACGTACCTCTCTACATCACCCATGAAAACAGTAACAAAGTGAAGGATGTGCTCCAGAGAATCGGCAGAAGTCTCCAAGATGTCATCAGCAAAACGCCGCAGGAAAATGAAGAAGTCACCCAGATTATCAGCAAAGAATTCTGCAAAGAGATTGTACATGAGCTCCTCCTCTGGGTGTTACAAGCAGCTCTACAGATGGGAAGGACCAGCAGCTTCACCTGGCACGTAGGCCAATGCGCTGTTCTGCACCTCCGGCAGCGGGAAGCTGAGCTCGAGCGGCTCCGTCCCCTGGTTTCCCACAGCCAGCTGCACCAGCAGAACCGCCATGGACACCTGCAGATTCAGGCAGTTCTGCAGCATCTGCGGCTCCGTCATCGCTGTCTTGGCCGAGAGATAGATGGTCATCAGGCGCTCAAACTGCTCCCTGAGGCTGTCAGCAGCAGGGCTGGAGCTCTGCTGAGCTTCTCGCCACGCTACTTGCAGGCGGTGAAGACTTTGGTTTATCTTTACCATCTGGTCGTGCAACCTACCCAGAAAAAAAGGCAAGATGAGATGAGACGAGACACATGGGCTGCCCGAGCGATACGTTAGCCAGCACGTGCTGCTTTTATCTTGCTCACAAGAAGCTCTGCGTGCTCGAGTTCAAACCGCTTTGTGTGGATAATTGGTTTGGGGTGCCAGCCTTTACAGAAAGGCAAGCCGGGCTTGGGAGGACACCAGACGCTGCTGAGGGATGGCAGCAGCTCGTGGAGCAGCCTGGAAAACTGGCAACTGCTGTGAAGCCCTCCTACAGGCTGCAGAGAGCGAGCTGGCGCAGCTGCCGACCCCCTTAGGTTACCGGGGTCAGGGATATGACACACCCGAGAGACACCCGCGAGGTGACATTTTCAGTTTCCCAGCAACGAGCCACTAGCGTAACTTATCACTGATTTATTTAATTGGAGAATAAACCAGACGGGGACGGTGCCTGGATTGTGGTGACCTCACAGTATCCAGGCAACGATTTGCAGAGGGAAACCGAGAAAAATAGCGCATTCCGGTGTCTAGATCTTTTCCTGGAAAAAGACAGCTACCTCGCATTTCTGCCTCACACGCAACCTGTTTATCGGGGTGGCTCGCAGTGGGCAGGTGCTCTGCCACCTAGATGCTTCCTAGTTGAGAAGTGAGATGCCAGTGGCCTGTTCCCCTGAGAAGAGGGGAGAACAAAGCAACCCTCGCGCTTGGCTGCTCCAGCGCTACGAATAACGTAGAGCCTGTAACACTGTCAGCCCCGACTGCTAGCAAGAGCAAACAAGGTTTCTCTCTGAAATCAGCTACCTGTGAAATCCCAAGTGCAGGGTGTACTGCGTGAGGACCAGGTTTTCTGTCACCAGATTGTAGCTGTTGGCAAACTCGGGCTCTTGCTCGCTCAGAGCGGGTATCAAGCACGTTTCTTTCTCCAGACCTGAAACGAGAAGCATCTCTACGTCACATCCCACCCGGCAGCGCTGGTGAGGAGAGGGGTCAGGTGAGCCCCTGACCGCAGGTGATGCTGGGCAGCGTTTTGTTTGTACCGAGCTCTCCCTTTGCTGCTCCCTCCCCACATCTTTAGCTCCTCCTCTACTGGCAGATGCTGAGAGGGCACTATCAGGAGAGGTTTGGGCGTACCTTTCATGTGCACGTTCTTACTCCTCCTCTCCTCTTCATTCAGCTCCTTCAGGGCACAGTAAGTAGGGTTGAAGGTTAGCAGCCTCGGAGATTTTGGTTTGCAGAAGGGCTGGCACAGCTTCAGGAGAGCGGCTCCCAGGTTGAGGAAGAAGGCATCTGAGGCATACATCTGGAAGAAGATCTCCGGCATCTGGTTTGCCCAAATTTTGGTGCGGCCCGCGTTGGCGTGGAGGCAGTTTCCCAGCCAGGAGAGAATCTTGTGCTTCGTCTCGGGAGACAACTGCAACAGGTTCTTCAGCATCTGGTAGATCTTCTCGTGGAACTGGGCCATGAACTGTTACAGGGAACAGAATGTGGTTTGGGGAGGCACTGGAGGCATCGCTCTTTTGCCTCTTCCAGTATTTGTGCTCTCAGAGCTCTGCCAGCTCCAGACTGCATCCTGCTCTTCCCAAGTAAATCACGGCCAGGACGCTTCCGTTAACCACCACCAGATACAGCAGGGCCAGCAACAAAGAATAACATGGGACACGTTCAAAAGCAACTTGTTTTGACAGGGAGCAAACCCAAAATTCTTTGTGTTTTTGTGAGCAACAAGGACCCCAAAAGCACACGGGACTAGGAAAGCCCCTCTCTGTGACCACTTCTGCACCCAGGTTTCCTCCTGTGTCTACATCCTGCGTTCTCTTTCTTCTCTCCTTGCCTACCAAAACATTTCTACCACTCTTCCTCCAGGGAATGTATTTACTTTTGTAAAGAGAGAGAATGCTGCCTGTCAGTTTCTCCGCAGGGGAGCCAATTAGCATCTTAATTCAGGACAGGTGCTGAGAACGACTTCCCAGTGACTACCACACCCAAGGCAGACTATCTACACCTGCCCCTCCAGTTAAGGTGCTGGTCTCTGCCCCACACCTACCACTCTTCTCTCTTCTTAAAGCTCAGAGGAAGATTTTGATAACAAACCTGACTTGGTCGACACAGACACTTGGATTACAACAGCCCCGAGGCAGCAGCTGAAACCCTCTGCAAGCTGCAGAATCCAAAGCAATTCTGCAACTTGCTTCAGCACAGGCCCTGGCACCGTGTGTTTAACCCTCAGGACACCAGAGGCAGGGAAAACAGAGAGGGAAGCAGTACGGCCACGTTTCCTCCCACCCACCTGATGGATGTTGGATTCCTGCACTTTGATCTCCTGTGGGCTGGATCGAGACGGATTTAGAAAATAGCCATGGTTCTCCACTAGGCCGGGGGTCTTCAACAAGCAGGAGATGTTTAAAATGGCACCTAGCAAAGTCTTCTGGTACATCTGCCCATTGCTGGGATCTTTGGGCTGGATATAGCCTGCAAAAACCTAGGGAAGGCAGAGCACCACGCTGACAGTCTTAAAAAGCTCCGGTGGAAAACAAAACCATGCTTCCAGGTTTGGGACAGGCTTTCATAAAGGAGGAGAGAGGTAAGAGCACGCACACACGAAGCGTTCTTACACTGTACTGTCTGTTCTACCTCAGCAGAACAGGCACCCACCTTTGCGATGTCCTTCTGCTTCGTGAAGTAGAGGAGCACATCGAGGTATGTGTACAGCAGGATCTGGCAGAGGTCCAGGTCCTTGATTCTGCCCAAGAGGATATCGAACACAGGAACCATGACCTCCCCGAACGTCCGCACCTCCTCGTCCATCGTTAAGGCTTCGATGACCTCCTCGAGAAACTCGGCCACGTCTTCAAAGTCTAGCAAGGTAAGTGAGGCCGTCACTCGCGACACACCAACAGCCGAACCTCAGCGCATACCTGTGCGTGCCACGACCCAAACGCAGCCCTCCCTTTGAGGAACGAGGGGAGCCAAAGCTTCACCCGCCTCCACGACACTTTCCCCTAAGAGCTTAACACGAAAGGCAGTCTCGTGGCACCCAACTTACGTGCCCCTCTCAGCGCCTCCAGCATCAGGTCCACCAGCTGCTCGTAAACGTTTTGGTTGACATAAATCTCGGGCGTGAGGAGGACAGTGCGAGTGTTGGACACGGTCAGGTTCCGGCAGCGCACGGCGAAGGGCAGCAGGTTCTCTGGGACCTTAGTGATCTGCACAGGTGGAACGAGACAGCTTTGAGGGCCTGGCAGCCACTATCAGAACCTCAGCTGGGTCAGCTAGGGCTAGAAACCTTCTTCCTCCAGAGCCCCCACCCACCTCTTCTCTTGCCCTCTGGAAACAGGCGTAGAGGTAGTGCAGAATCTGTCTCTCCCCAGCGTCCCGGTCTGCGGAGAGGTTCTGTGTGCTGGCGGAGGTCATGTAAATCAGGTGGTTTCCAGGCTCCTGCAGCAGCAACCGGGTGAAGAGGGCCTGGGCAGCAGCAGAGGCAGACAGGAAGTGAAACGGCCCCAGCAGAGACAATCCCTCCACAGGCTGAATTGCTTCTGCCTGGAAGAGCTCTATCCCTCATTAAGTAACAGGGCACGATGCCGCAAACCCTCAGGCTTCCTCCCTGGCAGCAGCCTCCAGGCAGCAAACCCTGAACTTTTCTCAGCATCGCACCCCAAACAGCCACGTAGCTGTTTCCAGCAAAGCCACAACCGACAGCTCCACGCTGGCCTTTGGTAAGCAAACGTGCTCAGGACACGTTGCCCGTGCGCTGCAAGGAAATTAGTTAAATTTTACACTGTTGAGGCAAGCGGAACGCCCGAG